AGATGCCAGACCCCTGCCCTGGTGCCCATCTACCTCCAGTGCAGCCCGGCACTGCCCCAGCTCCTCCTGGATGTTTTCCTCTGCCGCATCCCGTGCCTGTTTCTCCACCTGCACCCGTTGCCGCAGGGTGAACACATCGCAGCGAAAAGCCAGGGCGAGGTGGGCAAAGGCTGCCTGCGGGGTGGGAGGGCAAGAGGTGGGACACAGGGCGAAGGGGAAGCCACCAGGGCCATGCACTGCTGTCCCCAAGGCACAGACAGACCCCCCTAGCATGCCACCAAGCAGGGCAGTGCTAAGGATAATTAACGCTTGCCTTGCCCCAGCACCCGTTAGACTGCTGCACACTGGGGACAGTCCCCATGAGATGCCAGCCTGACCGAGACACATCCCCCAGGCAGCTGATAATGCATGGAAATCCCAAGCCATCCTGGCAAGAGCACACGCCGGGCAGACGCCAGCCCTTGCTGCAGGTCCCGGCTGACAGCGGAGCCTGACTCAGCCCTGGCACTCGCAGGAAAATTATTTTTATTAGCGCAGCTTCCACCACCTCCCCAGCTAAGGGCACTCTCAGTGAGCTGCAGAGCACTTTGTGGGATTGCCGGGCGTGCAGAGGACGGGCTCATCTTGCCATGGAAATGCAGCTGCCTCTGAATGCCAACAGCATCACTGGGAAGGGGATTTGTAAGGTGGCTGCCAGGGGACTGCGGTGCCTGGAGAGCGTCCAGGAGCAAGGCACAGCCCCGGGACTGTGAGCCAGCAAGGTGTCGGTCCCTCTGGCCCCCTTCCCCAGCCCACCCGCAGCCCCCAGCAGCGCTCACCTCCACGTCCTGCTCCGTCAAAGCCACCCTACAGAAAGAGAAGTGCCGTCAGGGATGGAGGCACCACGGGGACTGCACACTGAAAATGCCCTTGGTCCACTCCCCGGGATGCCAGGGGTGCCAACCACGACCAGAAGTGAGGACCCAAGTGCCCCTCGCCTGGAGAGCGGCTCTTGTGCAGTGGAAAAGGAGGAAAGTCCAATCCCTGGATGACACGGTGCCCCTGGGACCCCCTGTCCCATAGACCCTGGAGGGACGCAGGTGCTCACTGGTCTTACTTGTGCAAGCCTAGTCTCTCCAGCACCGAGAGCTCGCTGGGGAAACTCAGCAGCAGCTCCTCCGGGGTTTCTGCATCTGCAAGGAGGCAGTAACGTCAGGGGCAAGACCACACGTGAAGGCTTTTCCTTGGCCTGTCCTCCTCCCTCTGCCCTCCTGTCCTGGCAGGGAGCAGGTGCCTGTGGTGTGGGACAGTCCCAAACCTTCCCCCAGCATCTGCGGGGCTTCAGGTCCCCCCAGGCCAGTCCCCCCTTCCCCGTGTCCCTACCAAGGGAGACGATCCCCATCAGACCACGCTGTTCCCACGCTTGTCCCCAGCTACTTCAAGCCTTCCCCTAAGAGGACCCAGCTGGGATGTGGGATGGGGATTCACCCACCTTCCTCGGTCTCGTCACTGTCCCCGGTGCGCACAGCCAGCTCCTGCCTATCCGTGCCTGGCACCTGGGGGGCACAAGAGTGCTGTCGGAGCAAACCCCTCCCTGGTGCTGGATGGCATCCCGAAAAGAGCAGCACCAAGAGGTTGGGGGTCCGGCCGAGGCCACGGGGCCAGGGAGGGAAGGGCCTCCCCCAACCTGTCGCCCTCCCCTCCCTCTCACCTCACCAACGCGCTCCACAATCTGCTTGCTCCCGGCCAAAACCCCACCTGGGTGCCCTTGGGGACTGCTCATCCTCCCTGGGGACAGAAAGAGTGGTGGGAGCTGGGCAGCAGCGTCACCTCCCCAGCCTGCCTCCACTGCAAGGGAGACCCCCAAAAACACCGCTGGCATTTCTGCAGCCTGCAGGGTCCCAGGGGGCACGGGCTGGCAGGTGCCCCCCAAAATACCCCTGTGGGGTTAAGGGAGCTGCAGCTAGGCTGGGCCAGGGCAGGGGGAGGAGGGCGAGGGATCTGGTGCAGCGCGTGGGTTACAGCTGGCGAGGCAGATCCAGGGGATGGCGTTGGGGTCCCAGGGCTGGAAGGGGTGTGGGGTTGCAGGCAGGCGCTGCCAGGCCAGGGGACACCCTCCTGCTGGACCCATGCAATGCTGCTCAGGGAGGGAGGGTGCAAAATCCACCCCTTTCCCCCCATCCCCACTCTGGGCTGCCCTTACCTTCATCCGGAGACACGGGGAGTCCAGCCAGCTCTGCCTGCTGCTCCCTGTGGAGAGAAGCCTGGGTAAACCCCAAAGAAACTCTGGCAGCAGAGGCAGCATCCCACCCCCTCTGCCCTCCCCCAGCTGCCATGGCACCCCTCAATGGGATGCTGCTCCGGACCTGGGTCCTTTCTGAGCATCCTCTGCAGCTCGCTCCGTCCCCGTCCCTGTCCCCGCCCTCCCTGGCACGCGTGGAGCAGCCCCCTCCGCTCCCACGGCCGCTGCAGAGCCGCCACCGAGGAGCCCGCTGAAGACGTTTCCCGCCAGCAATGAGTCACCGGCCCACGGCCGTGCTTCTCCTCAGCACATTATTTTTTTTTGCCCTGGCTGCCAAGTGGACCTCGCTATGAGCCGGCCTCTTCGCAGGCACCACAACAAACCCGGCTGCTGGCAGAGCCCAGGCGCCATCTCACGTCACCACAATGGGGACGGCAGGCCTTGGCACATGCTCTTGCCCCCCCCAAAAGTGCACTGGGATGGCCTTGCCACCCCAAAACCCTGTTCTGGGTGCAAGGAAGTCTGGCAGCTCTGTAGCATCCCTGCTCATTGGGGCCTGGGATGCTGGAGCACAGCGGGGATGGCAGGTCATCTGTGCATGGAGATATGGGGGCTGCTGCGCAAACGGCCCTCTGTAGCCTCATGCTGGAGCCCAGCACCCAAGTGGGAAAGGGTTTGAACACCCAAACTTTGCTCCTGGCTGGGGAAAGGGCTACAGCAGGGCTTTTCCCTCTCCTCCCTGCAAGCCTGGGGGTCGTTTCTCAGGAGCGGTGGCTGTGGGAGAAGGGGCCACTGTGCCAAAATGATGCTCAGTGCCTCGGAGCGGGGCGATGCTCCAGCCAGCATCCCCCCCGCTTGCCTGGCACTGCCATCCCTGTCCTATCCTCACCCGGAGAGCCGTGGGGCGAGCCCTTCATGCACATACCTCCGAGGTGAGGGGCTGGGTCGGCAGCTCGTCCTCTGCCGCTGCCGCCGTCGGCACCCCTGGGCGAGTCCCTGCGCCTCCTCTTCCCCTTCTCCCAGCGAGGTCCCTGCGAGCGGCTTCATTTGCAAAGCGCGGAGGCTCCAGGACCAGCACACCTATCATGAGAGACACATATTAGCTGCGCGCAGATGGGAGAACGCCTCTAAATGTTATATTTTTAAAGCATTTTCTCACCCAGCAGTAGCTCCAAGCTCCTCTGCTTAGCGTGGAGGCATCTGTGGGAAAAGAGGTGGGGAGGCCCGCTGCAATTCAGGAGGATGCTGCTGGGATTGGGGCGGGCATGGAGCGAAGCGAACGAGGAATTTATTACAAGCCCCATTTCTGTGCAGCGCTGAGGGTGGACTTTTCCGCTTGCCACCCCCGTTAACCTCCCACAAGGCGATCTTTGCTTGGGGCTAACGACATGGGATCGTCTCCATGGGGGAAGATAAGTTTGCACCCACCTACCGGTGTGAGCACCCAGTGCAGAGCAGGAGCAATCCACTGTACCCCAGGCAGGGGACAGTCTGATGCCCAAGCATCCCCCTGCCATGCCGGATCCCAGATAGACAAATATAAGAGATTCCTGAGTCCAAGGGAGCTTGGACATCTCACTGAGGCTGTTTTGCAATATTTAAAAATCAGAGAAAGCCAGCAGAAAATCCAGAGAGTCTCTCTCCCAGCCCAGGGTAAAGTCACTGTGCAGAAGGGGCTCTCCTGCAGGATGCATCTCCTCGGGACCTGTACCCACAGACATGCAGATATGGGGCAAAAGGAGATTATTTTTTTTTTGTTTTTTGGCCGGGAAATGCAGCAGAGATTTAAGGGGACAGCAAGCAGGGACTGGTTAAAGCCCCGCGTGCCTGTGCAAAGCCTTGGCCAAGCTCAGTCACCCCAGCACCGAGCGGGACCATCACCCATCTCATCCCTGTGCCGAGTGGGGCTGTCACCCATCTCCCAGAGCCTGCTCAGCCCTGATGGAGGTGTAAAAGCAAGCAGCACTCAGCATCTGTCAAAACAAGCCCATTTCATGCCTATACACTGGAAATTGTCCCCGACACCTCTGCCAAGGGGCCCGGGAGCCCCCAGCCATCAGGGATCAGCCAAACTCATCACTTCAGTGAGCATCAGAGTTTTCCCAAGGGCTGGTCCCTGCTGCAAAGCACTCGCTCTAACAGCCATGGCAGACCCTGCAGCCTGCTGATTTACTACAGCTCAGACAGCCTTACAGACACTAGCTCCTTATCTTTGTTTTACGGATGGAAATACGGAGGCACACAGCTTGTTTGCCCAGTGTGGCAGAAATAACCCCCCGGGAAGCCAGACCGAGCGCTTTCCCTCAGCTCGGCGACTTTACCAAACGCTCCCCGGGTCGTTACCTGCCTGAACTCAAGCAGCCGAAGGCAGATGCTGGGGCCACCCAGCTCGGACCTGGCACTCGGTGCTGTCGGGTCCCCGGCAGACCCGGGAAGGGGGTTCAGGGGATGCGGCGCGGCCGGCAGACGGTGGGTCGGGGGGTGCCAGGGCCCCACGCGGTGCAAGCTGCAGGCGGCAGAGTCTCCCCGGAGGGGAGAGCGACCGCATCTGCGGCAGAAGGAGCTGCCAGGGAAGAGCTCGATGAAAGAAGGCCTTTAAAGGACATGCACAAGAGCGGCTCGGAGCTCCCTGCGTAGGGCCGGGGAGGGCTGAGCAGTTTGCAGGTGGCCAGGCGACCTCTGCTTTTGGTGCGGGGCCAGATCTTGCACCCGCTTTTTGGAGGTGACAGCTGTTACCCAGAGCTGGAAGAGACCACGGCTGCTCCCTCCGTGCCCGGTGTCTGCAGAGCAGAGTAGACCTGAGTCTCAGCATCTCCCTGGCAGGAGGCTCAGGACAGGGCGGTGGCACTCAGGACCTCCATAGAGATGGGGGATCCCCATGCCTTCATGGAGGGCACAGCACGAGGCTAAACCAGGATGGCTGACGAGGAGCCCCTGTAGCATCGTATTTGATGATGCAGGGAAGCCGCTCTGCCCAGGACCCTCATCCCTCCTGCCCCTCTTAACAGCCCCACTTTCCGCCCAGCCATCACCCCACTGCCCCTTCCCCCGCCTGACTCCTTTGCTCAAATCCGTCACATCCTCTAAAGCCGCTTTCTTCCCCTAATGAGCTTACAGGGAGTCAGACTCAATGCTCAGCGCTAGAGAACCAGGCTGCAGGCAGGCAGCCACTGTTAGCCCCCCCATGCCTGGGGACCCTGATGTACCACGAGGAACAAGGCAGGTCCTTGGGGTCTTGCAAATCTCATAAGCCCTCAGAGGTCAGCCACCAAACGGCATCTCCCAGCCCCGGGGCAGGGCTGGCCCAGCCTCATGCCCATCTGCCGAGAGCGCAGGATGCGGCCCCAGGTCCAGGGAGCAGCCAGGGAGGGCTGAGAGAGCCCATTTGCAGCTTTGAAGCGGGAGCTGTGCTGTGCCACAGTGGGATGAGGCTTTGGAAATGGCCACCAGCAATGGTCCCCACCAGGTCAGGATCTCAAACATCCTTGAAGCTTCAGGGATGGGTTTTCCCCTGTTGGGGCAAACACCTCCTGCTCGGACCTGACCCAAAAGCAGAGCTGCTGAGAAATCATGAGTCATCTTAGGGGAAGGATAGCCCCAAATTCCCATGCTGTCTTTCCTGTAACACACGTACCTAGCAACACAAGCTGTGATATGCATGATTAGCACCAATTAATGACATTAACACATCCTAAGTTCACACCACCAGCACCAGGAAGACACCAGACATGCTGAAAGGCAGACTGGCACTGTCACCCTCTGCCTTATATTCTTATATATCCTCTGCCTTTGCTTAAAAATTCTTCCCTGGGATTTCCTCTCTTCCCCATCCCTCTGTTTGCCATCCATCTCCAAGAGTTTCCAGGCACAAAGGCTGACCACTTGTGCTTCTTTTCAGAGAAGGATTTGCCAGACACGCTTCCCGGAGCGAGCAGGTCACCTGGCCCAAGCTGCAATAGGATGCTCAGGACTTGCGACGGCAGGGCCGCATCCATCCCACAGGTGGGTACATCCATGCATGTCTGTCTGGAGGCAGCTGACCTCTGGTGCTGTGCAGCAGTGACAACTCTGAGCAGCGGAGCTTCCCCCCCGTCCCTTACCCCCCAGTGCTTTCCCAGCCGCTCAGCGAGTTTGCTGTCTGGCTGATATCTCGAAACACAGATGAATTCTCCAGGCATGAAGTCAGGTTTGCATTAGCACCGCCAGTCCCGTCACTGGGCTAATTCGCATCCGGGCACCCCTTTGTTTCAGAAAGAGGAGACTCGAGCAGAGGCGGAGACCCTTCCTTCGGGCTGAGACTCAGCGGATGGAGCCCAGCACCCAATTGCTGCGATGCCATTCCCCTCCTCGAGGACCTCCCCCTGCCTGCATTCCATGAGGGTCTGCTTGGGCAAAGGGGTCTAAACTATATATTTTATTGTAGAGTGCTCTTTCTAGCCAAGCACAAGGTCTCTCCTTGACAGAACCCGCAGCCAAGGCTCCTGTAGCAGGGCATGGAAGTAAAAGCACCTTCACAGCATGATGCTGAGCAGACAGAGCTCAAAACCAGCTGCCCCTGAGGATAGGCAGCAGCAGAGGCTGGCGAGCTCAGGGGATGGAAGACAGACACCTTTGCATACACCAGTGCCTTGCCATCAACACAGCCTGGTCCTGCTGGCCCCATCCCCACAGAGACCCTGCTTCCTTCCCGAAAGCAGCAGCCTGGCACCAGGCAGGCAGCAGATCAGGCTCCATAGCCTCTGCTCTAGTGTCCTGGCAGGTCCCCGGCTGCAGCAAGTTGCTCCATGGAGGGGACAGACCTAAGGACACCATCGCATTGGTTCCCCACACCAGAATAGAGCTTTCCTGCTCAAAAACTCCTTTATTCCCTCCCACACACACGTGCTGAGGGGTTCAATAAGAGGCAATGCCTCTCTTTGCAAACCATCCCATTCAAAGAGCCTCTAAAAGCATTTCCTAAAAGCACCCAGGGATTTTCATATATTCTTATTTTTAACCTGGGAGCATCGTGATTACAATCTAGGTATCGTAGGGCCTCAAACAAGCGAAAGCAGCCCAACTCCCCATGCACAGACCTGTTCAGCGGAGATGAACAAGAGACCCTGCTGGGAGATGTCCAGCCTAGAGAGGTGAGTGGCAGCGAACTGCTGCAGGCTCTGGCTTTGATTTTTAACTTGGGAGCTTCGTGATTACAACCTAGGTATCCTAGGGCCTCAAACAAGCGAAAGCAGCGCAACTCCCCATGCACAGACCTGTTCAGTGGAGATGAACAAGACCCTGCTGGGAGATGTCCAGCCTAGAGAGGTGAGTGGCAGCGAACTGCTGCAGGCTCTGGCTTTGCTCCTCGCCGTCTCCTTCCAGCGAGGTCCCACCGGCGACACGGCAGCCTACTGCAACGGCATCTTCCCAGGGCTTCTCCTGAAGCTGAGCTGAACTTGCAGCTCAGATCGCAGAGACCGTGGTCATCTGGATTATCCACTTCTCGGAGGAAAGCTGCTCAGACTGACGCTGGCTGCTACTGCTGATGCGGCAAACATGATTTAATAGGGCTGTGCAGGGGGTCCAACCATAAAGTAACACCCCAGCCCTGCAGCAAATTCATCTTCATGTGGCCCTGATCCACCCAGCTGACAGGGACCTGGCAGCCACCAGACTACCCAAGGCAGAACACGATTCTTTTATTACGATTAAAAGATTGTTAGCAAAAAAGCAGACGAAAAGGGGTTTTGCTTCTTTTGGTTCAGTTTTAAATTCCAGGCTGAAAAAAGATGACTGCTGAGCCTTCCCCTGAGCAGTTCAGCCTCACATCTGGGTGTCACAGCCACCAGACTTCAATGCAAAACTGCATCAGCATATTGGGGATTACATGCATGTGATTAACAGGTTGTCATTGAAACGCAGTTACCTCCAGGGAGAAGGAGGGTGACTATCAGCTCCCAGCATTGCTGCAGGAGGGGACACAGCAACTACCTGGACACGCCTGCAGCTCCTGCTTGGAAAGGGGCAGCCCCTCAGGGGATGGATATGGACCATTTTCAGGAAAGCAGCTGAGTTTCAGCCCTTTCCCACAAGGTGTTGCATGGACCAAGGTGGTCTGGCTCGTATGTGGCTCTGGCGTTTAACATCCGTGGATGCAGCATTTGCACACCTCTGCCCACCCAGAGATTCTCTGCTGTCCCATCATGGCACCAAGATGCCACTTGGGGAGTGGAGAGATCATCTTGTCATGAAATTGGTTCAAAAATCACCGTGGGAACATGAGGAGGCAGCAGAGTGGACAGATAACCCATGCAATTGCATAATATTAATTTCCTTTAAAAAAACCCAAACAAACAAACTATTAGGCCAAAAAGGGAATTCCCCTCCATACCATGAAGGAGGTAAATCTCTACAAACAGAAGAGGAAGCAGATAAGAAACTACCGTCAAATATCCCAAGTAAATTGGCTGAAAATTATACACTGCCTTCTACATACAGCCTAGGAAACATCTAAGACAAAGCTTCTGACCTTTCCCTTCACCAACACTGCTAGTAAATCAGGACAAGGACAAACCCAGCCCTGGCTCTCCCTCCACTCCTGGATAAGGTTCTGCTGAACTATAAAACCTGACTGATGTTTTATTCTGCGTCCACCTCTTCGCACTGTTAGGCTGGATTTTAAAGTTCTTGAGGGGGTCAAGAGGAGTCAAAAGTAAAGTTTTCCATGCGGGTGCTACCAACCACCACATAAACAAGCAGTCTTCCGCCAGCATGTCTAGCGTCTCCAGGGTTTGCTTCCAATTCTCCTAACATGACTGTTATCTTGCACATACAAGAGGAATCCACGGCATATGATAAGCTGCAGCCAAGAGCAAAAACAGGGCTACAAAGTCTCTTTCCACAAGCCAGTGTAACGCTTCCCAGCAGAACAGGAACCCTCCCCTTGCTGTTTGCAAAGCCGATCTCTGCTTAACTACTGTTTCTTGCAAAAACCACGTAGGCTGGCCCAAAACGCAGCTCCCAGTATCTCCAGATGAGTTGGAAGTGCAAGCTGCATACGGCACATAGCAGCCAAGAAGAGCCTGTCAAATTGAGACTGTTGCCTAAAGAAACCAGTAAGCAGTTACAAAACCAAACATCCATGAGGGAGGAGACGCACACCACGGCCAGGAGATTTCAAACCATTTATTGCTGCCCAGTCCATAGAGATGCCGGGGCTTCCCCACAGTGCTCTACATATACACAGCACAGTTCTTCTTCAGCAAGGACACCAGGAAGTTGATGACCAGGTGAATTTTGGAGATGAGTTTGTCCTCGGTCATCTTCATGTGACCGACAGCCATAGCCAGATGGAGCTCTGGGGACAATGACACCGAGGTCACTTGGTAGAAGCTTTGCAGAGAAACTGCGAAGACCGCAGCCTGCTACCTAATAAAGCCAGAACAGCAGGCTCAGACCTTGATGATCAGGGCACAATTTCTATTTATGTCGTATTTCGGGCAGCCCTACAATAGCTTCAATATACTCAGCCACTAACTCACTGGTATGCAAGTACATCAACAATTTGGCTCCCTGGAGGTTTCTTTCCTCCAGCTAACATAGACTTTGAAGCCTCATCAGTCCACTGTCACCTAAAATAGCTTAAGAGATTCTTACTATAAAGAAATCCGTGCTCTCAGCATTAAGAGCATCACTCAATGCTTCAGAGTTTCACTCCTCTGGCTGGATCTAAACATTAATGAGCAAACTTGAAGCAGTAACATGTCACACCTACATGTTTTAATCCGTCTTCTCCCTTTGTAGATGTAAATGTTTATGAATTTTTACATAGTTCCCAAAGTATGCAATGCTTCAAAACCTCCATTAAAACTCCAGCACAACCTCCAACCAGAAGGTGCCTAGACAAGGTTTCCAGTGGGTGTTTTCAAGGATACAGGATAGAAATTTGGAAACAGTCACGCTCTAGAAGCACTTTTTATTAGTATATCACTAAATACCTTGCAATGGGAAGTGCCATCATCGCCATGTGGAAAACCAGAAATGTGACACAGAGCAGGGCCACTTGCAAGCCCCGGCAAACAGACAAAAAAGGCAGATTTAAAGCAAAAAATTCAAGTTTACCAGTTCTTCATCTAAACCCCACTCTTCTGCATCCTGAGATTTGTAAATGCCAGCAGACCAGATAACTCAGCAGATCATTGCTGCATCACCCGAAAATCAGCTTAGCTCTTGGAGAGAAAGGCTGACACGCACAAAACATACCACTTGTGCCTTGGCTCCTTCGAGCCAAGATAAAATCACGATGGCCAATTAAGCCTAGACCAGAATTATTGTCTTCAAACACAGCCTCAAATCAGTTTACGTCTTGATTCAGTGATGTGTTAAGAGCATTAAGAACTAAGGACCTATGAACTCCACCATGCAGTATTGCTTGCTCTGGGCCGTCACAATGCTAGAAAAACACATGAAATGGGGAGGTTTTGGAGAAGATGACTCTTCGCCTTGGGTACCAGGCTGCCACTGTGAGTGAGGTTTGCCAGCTTTGTGCAGACTTGGAGCCACACAGGAGCAACCTGCTTCATCAAGGGCTGATGCTGGTAAGGCATTGTACTTCTCAGCTGTGAGAAACAAAACAAGGGTACACACAGGAAATATTGCAGCCTTGTCACTCCATTTTTTAAGAAGTGGATCTAGGTTGATTAAAACAAGTAGGGACACCTGCAAACCAGACTAATGAGACACATGGGTGCTCAATCAAGCTCTTCAGATTTACAAAGTTATCAGAGATGCTGGCACAGGGTAGGAGACATCACATCATGCAGCATACTCATCAAGCCAAAGGGGACCTGAAAGCAGAGAAGACCTTCTGCTTCTTCTGCAGCTTCTCGCTCCCCGGTTGGGTAACATGGGGACCTGCTCAGTGGTAAACCCTTTTTAATAAAGGAACATACAAGGAAAATGGGCAACGTTTCCTCTCCAAGAGGAAAGGGCAGCCAGCCTTGGGCCCAGGAGTCCTGCAGCCCACCTTCAGGTGCTCTTCAAGTACTTGTGTGCCAACATTACTCCATCAATAACGCAAAAATAATGGATTTTTTGTTTTCCTGATTAAAAAAAGCCACCTTTTGGGCACAAAACATCTACAAACGGGTCACCTTTAAGCAATTACCCCCCTCCAGGCAATGCGCAACAAGACCACCCCTCATGGCCATGGGCCCAGTGCCAATGTGGGGCAATCCAGGGCTTTGCCGCGCCCACACCACTGGAGGTTGGGAGAGGAGAGGAGAGCCGCTGCCCTGAGACGCCCTGCAGCCCGGCCCCTCCACAGCTCCTCCTCTGCCGCCATCTTGGGAGAGGCGGGGAGGGAGGCGCCATCTTGAGCGTGGCAGGGCGGGAAGGCGGGAGTTGCCATCTTGAGTGTGGCAAGGCGGGCTCTGACGCAGCCCAGAGACAGACCAGACACAGAACTGACTGGAAACATTCATTGTTTAACCAAGAAAACCCTCATCTTCAAACCTCGGGGTGTGCGTGGGGCTGGAATGGTGTCACCCAGCGATAGCCCACCTCAAACCAGGCCGGCCAAGCGCAAGGCATTGCTGCAAGGCCCTGGGCAGAGGCATGGGTACTCTGTGTGCCACGGCTCATGCTCACTGGGTCTCCATCACGCTGGTGGTCAATCCCAGTGAGGGACTGGGCTGCAGCTACCACCGCCTAACAAGCACCCTCTGCCCAAGAAAGCCATTGCCTTGCAGTTCCCTTTGGTGTTCACCTGGGAGGAGGAGAGAGAAAGAGGAGAGGAATCAAGAAAAGGGAAACCCACCACCAACCACACTCCAGCACGGCTTCTGCGGGCACTCGGTGGTTTCCCACCACCCAGGGCAAACCAGGAGCATGGAGGCTGCCATCCCCCACAAGAGAGACCCCAGCCTGGAGGGCACAGCATCCATCTCACCTGGCTCCTTCCAGCACAGCCTGCAGCGATTTCTTCAGAGCCGCATTGCTCCGATCCAGAGCGGCAGCCAGACAGCTGCGGTGGGCTGGGGTGACCTGGGACGGAGAGGAGCAAGGTGCTCAGAGAGCTGCACTGCCAGGAGCCCACCTGAGACCCCTGGGCCAGGTCCCTGGGTCAGCTGCAGCCCTGGCTGACAGCTCACCAGCTGATCTGCAGGACCCAAGCCTGGTCTTGCTCACCTGGCTTTGGTACATGGTGAGCACGGCCGTCACCAGCTTGGCATAATTCAGTGACGTGGCGAAGGCTGGGGCCTGCCGGCATAGAGTCAGGACCAGGAGATCGAATTGCTCAGGGGGCAGCACCTCCTGGAAGAGAGCAATGAACAGGGATGAGAGCTGGTCCTCGCTCCAGTGCTGCTGGAGCTGGCAAGGAAACCTGGGGAGACAAGGGGGGTCCCCTCACCTGCCGCCCCAGCACGGCCTGCACCACTGGCAGGAGCTTCTCTGACAAAGGCACCTCCAGGACCTGGCTGCAAAGGATGGTGAAGAGGAGATACGATGCTCACATGGCCTCGCTGGTGCTCCTGAGTGGCCAGAGCCAGCGAGACCCATTGAGGCAGACGCGAGGGCCGAAGCAAAGCTGTCGCCCCTGTAATCTCTTACCTTAGCACCAGTCTCACACAGTCTGGCTCCAGGCACTCCTCCACAAGCTCACACACCAGCTTGGTCTGCTCAGCACCTGCAACAGCAAAGCAGGAGGAGGAAGAACCTCCAGAGGCTGCCAAATCCATGGGGATGTGCCTGACTCTTCCTGGCACCCCTTCACACAGGGGTACATCCCAATCAGGACACCCAGAAGCCACATAGTGCCTCCTTCTACTGTTCAGGATAATCCAGCTTCCCTTGCCCACCTGCAGCAAGGGTTTAATTAGCACCAGCCCCTAGGAAAAGGGGATGCTGCTGTGGCAGAGATTCATGCAGGACCCTCTTCTCGTGCCACTCTGGGACAGTTTTGGCCCTAGCAGTGGAAGCTGTCAGGAATCCTCAAGTCCATGGACGGATGGCAGCTGTTCTTTGGGAGAGCTAAGGCTGGAAACCAGCTTGGCCTTCCCCTCTATCTCAGGCATCTGTAAACCCATCTCCCATCCTAACTCTCAAGTGTTTACCTGCCCAGATAAAACCAACACCATCCCTCCGTGCTTCCTAACACACGTTTTGGGTGATAAATGCCTCCCAGCAGACAGCACTCTGCAGCTGGGGCTTCCCTTCCTGCTGGATGCAGCCCACAGCCCCTCTCCAGCAGTCTCAGCTGCTCCCAGAACAAGCCAAGCCTCCTGCAAGCCCATCGCACCTTCCCCCGGCTCCCGCAGGACCGCAGCCACCAGGATTCGACAGAAGGGCTGGGAATACTTGGAGCAAAATGAAGCGAGGGCAGCCATGAGGTGGCGGGAGGGCGGCGCTGGGTGAGGGACAGGACCTATGGACAGAAAAGGCAGGAGATGGGGATGGCGGCAAGGGAAATGGAGTGCAGGAAACCTCTGCCCCTGCACTTACTCGCCTGAGAAAGAGCTGCTCTGCCAGGATGGCTGCGCTGGTGTAGCTGAGGTCGGGGGTGAGAGCCAGCAGCCAGCTGCAGAAACACACCAGGAGGTGCTCTGGGCACGTGGAGAGCTGGAGGAAGGAGCACAGCCCCTCGAGCTGGGGACAGCAGAGGGGACAGGGACGTTAGGGACAGCAGCAGGCCCTCCGTGGCACCAGCGGTTGCAACGAGGATGCTGAGGCTCACCTGGCCGGGAGAGCAGTTGTTCAGGACGTGCAGCTCGGGCGGGATGCTCAGCTCTGAGTGCTGGAGGGAAACACAGTCCACCAAATAAACCAACCCACAAAATACAACTCCGGGCTTTTCGCTTCCCTACTGCCCCCTGCTTCAGCCAGCACTGACCCTGCAGGCTGCCCGTCATACAGCAGATCCCTGCAAGGTGGATGGAGGTAGGTACCTGAACCCAGAGGAGGTGGCAGTGGGGCTTTTTATCCCCCCTCCAGTCATCCCTGTAAAACCCACCTCCTCTCCTATCCCTTCCAGAGGCCCTGGCACGAGCCCGTTCAGACCATCAGCTCCAGGAGACAGACAGAAGCAACCACTTACGTTGGACTCCTTCTGCAGCAGCATTTTCAGCCTCGGTCCATGCACCTGCAGAAAATGAGGTGAAGGAACAGAAATCAGACTGCAAAGGCTCACTGGCTGGAAGGGGAAAGCAATCCCTGCCTGGTACCTGGAGAAAGGACTGGACATCGGCTGCCAGCTCTGCCTGAGAAATCTTCCTGGTCTCCACGGTCGCATCCTGCTGGGAGCTTTCCAGAACAGCTCCGGCCAGGCTCTGAGCAGATCTGTCCCCTGAAGTCTCCCCAGGCACCTCCTCTTCCACCTCTGCCACATCCCCACCCTCCTGGGCTCCTGGAGGGTCAAACATCGCCGCCTCCTCCAGCAGCAACCTCTTCCCCTCTCTCTCCCCATCCAACTCCAGGCTCTCCTCCGACACTTTCTTGCGCTTCCCACCTTGAAGCACAGAGTCAGCCACGTCCCCAGCAGCACTGGGCTGCTTGCTGAAGCACCAGTTCAATTTTCTTCGCCCCTCTGGTTTGTTCTGGGCAATCTTCCGGCACAGACACCTAAGCTGCTGTTGGCATGCGGAAGACAAGGGAACGGGAGGTGGGGAACACTCCTCTCCCCTCGGTCCTTGCCGGAGCAGATCCCCCAGCGTCTGCACCCAGGGATCTACATGGGAATCCTCCTCCATGGCCTGGAGCAGCTGGCTGAGGCAGCTCCCCGGCACCATGGCTTGCACCACGAGGAGCAGGGAGAAGAGGTTTCTCTGGCACACAACGGGGAGCAGCAGCAGACGTGGTTTGCTGGAAAAGAGGAGAAATGGGAGAGGCGACGCGTCAGAGCAAAGCCCCGAGTCCTTATTGCCAACCTGCCCCGTAGAGCAGGGTCTAACGGGACCAGGAATCGAGAGGAGGCAGCAAACGCCTGCGCCAGCTTTTGCAGACACAAGCTGGAAAACCGGCGGGTCCCTGCTACGATCCTGACTTCACGTATGGACCGTTGCACCGGGGGGAAGAGGATGCATGGTGACGAATTGGGCCCCCAAAGTGCCAAACCTCCCAGAAAACACCGAGTTTTGGAAACGTAGCCGACTCACACAGCCAGGGTCCCCTCCGGCCCCTCCAGCGTGGGCTCTTCGGCGCACAGGGCTGCGGTGAAGGCCTGCCAGGGAAA